TTGTACGAATGTAATAAAGCCACATTATAAACGAGTTGTGTACGATATATTTTTGTATAACAGCATTATAAATTTATAAGATAATCAAACAAAAGTTTTGTTAAACAACTCTTGTGACACCACAGGTATTTGACATCTGTGCGAGAAACTTGTGATCGGCTGTTCCGTTTATTCCGCTCCCTTCCCACGAATATCGCTGCGAATGCCTGATTGTGTGATAACGCGTCATTTGTACCGTAAAATGCTAACGCGTCATTTGTACCGTAAAATGCCAACGCGTCATTTGTACCGTAAAATGCTAACGCGTCATTTGTACCGTAAAATGCTAACGCGTCATTTGTACCGTAAAATGCGCCTTATGAACGATTTCTTGCAGTAGAAAAGGTAGTTTATAATGAAGATATACAAATACAACTTAATACAACGATTATGTTGTTAAAATTCCAACTATTGTTTTTTGTGGGCAACAATTATCACGCCTGTAGCACATTGCACTGAATCCGCCAGTTTGTCAAGTTGCGTTCAGCGACTGCACTCGGAATCTTATCTGCGCAATTGATCACATGGCTCGTTGTGCCACGTGCTAAGTGCTGTAAATCCTTCTAACCAGAGACGGCTGTCAACACGTCACTTCAACCCAAGTAGGATACAACGAATTTGGTGGAATTTTCGCCTCGTATGTGTATAACTACACATGTAATGGTAAACCTCGAATATTTAGGTTCTAAAATATTTTTTCTCAACAAAGATAGCCTCTTGAAAAGTGAAAAGGAGACCTCTAATTTCTTAAACAATTGGTACAAACCGAAATTAATATACCTTATTTTGTACACTCAGCCGTGAAACGAGCCATTTCTGTACTCATCGTACGTAAATTTGAGATTAGGACTAAGTCGTTAAATATGCAGGTGATATGAGCAATAATATACAGAACATGAGTTAATGGTTCATGTCAACAAACAATCCCTGGCGAGCAGATCTTCACCTCGAACTATAAATCCTCCAGGTCAACTAAGCTGTGGAGGCAATGGTGTAGCCG